CCCATATCCAGAAAGAGCATAAAATTCAGGTCCTAACCCATAGTTTCGACTCATCTGAAAATGCTTGCAAGCAAGCCACAACAAATGAATATTTTGATCAGAAACTTCGATCCAAACGTTCCGTCCAAATTAATTTGTTGGGTCTTTCAAAGATTATTTCACTACTCTCGAACAGAAATCGACATAAAATTTCTAAGCCCATATTCGGAAAGATCAAAAAGTTCTGATTCTAATGCATAGATTTTGACTCGTCGGAAATACTTTCAGGCGAGTCAAAAGTGAACAAACATTTTGTCCAAATAATTTTCGATCACTCGTTATATCACTTCTAGAAAAAATAGGTAAATCGAGCGTATCTGAGGATACCTCTATGAAAAAGCAGGAGTCACTTCTGGCCTAATGTTTTTTACTGGCTTCCGATTAAATATTGGATCGAAAAAAAATAGTCGTACAGGAAAGCCCATAATGAATAAAAATTTTTGGTATGGCAACTGCTATACCATGCCACCATGGTGGCCCACCACTGCTAAAAAGTTTGGTTCATAATAGATAACTTCAGAACATGTGTTTATCAGTACTTTTATAAAACTAATATCTCGTTTGCGGCTATCAATGTATTTATACAGTTTTTTCTTAAATTCGTTTCGTTGGTAAGAAAATTGAAAATGTTCTCATTTACCTCTTTGAGGACGGTGGGATATATTTGTCCTACCTATTTTTCAGTTCAGAAAATGTTTGCTCTACATTAAACTGTTATAATCTTTAAAGTAAATAGGTCGCCTATCTGTCATCTCATGCAGGTCTTTTCTCTCTTTCTTTCTGTCATATAGATCCTTCTCAGATATCCTCCTTTCTTTCTGCTACTATATACTGACGCATCATTTCTTTCTCTCTTCTCTCGATGCATTATCATCAGGTTTTTATCTGATTATTTTGAGCCAAATACAACAGATTGATTAAAGAACCATTTTTCGATTGAAAAAATATTCCTCCCTCAAAGGGTTAAATGACAAACAGATCAAAAATGACTTTGTACTGAGTAGTTTTTATTATCATCGTTCAATTGACATGCAAATAAATAGTAAATTATCCTAAATCAGCATGAATCACACACATGGTGGCAAAATCTGCTTTCCATACAAAAATTGAATGTCGAAGGATCCCAGACAAAGTTTCGAAGAAAAGATGTTGCGCAGTACAGACGCGATTCCTGATAGGAATAAATTTTGCTAATATGTGAGTGATCCGATGTAGCTTTTTATGCTTATGTCAGTTGATCGGCATTTCCACGCATGATATCTTCGTGCAGGATATGTGTGTAGGTGTCGAGAAGATCCCTAGCCACAATCGAAGACATAAAATATCTTATTTGAATAACTAGTTCATTACCTAGCTGGTTAATTAATAAGTAAGATGGCTTTCTTGTGGAAGCGGGTATGAATACGAGGTTTCGAATATAATAAATATTTTATCATCCACCCACATGTTTTTTTTTTACAAATCAATACATAAACGAGTATGAATCTATATGAAGTAACATTGTTATATTCACTTGAAATTTCACTAAATGATATAGTATGTAAGATTTATCCATGTGCCGTCGGCAAACGAAATGTTTATCAACAAAGTCAATAGCTATGTGAATTGCTAATCAATTAACTAAATAATGAACTAATTACATATTATAAAATGTTTTCTACAAGACTAATCATTTTTGATCTGCATTCGTTTTCGACCATAAGTTTATTCAGCAATTTTAGGGAATCGGTAAACTTCGTCTTTAATCACAATGGACTGATTCGAATAATTCAAAAACAATCTGTTGTGTTGATATAAAATTTTAACAATTAAACTCAACTTCGACATCCACCTTCATAAAAATTAATATAGATGAATGAATATTTCAAGATCGTATAACAATGATTATAACTTGTAGTTAAATTGCACTTCTTCATGCTGATACTATTGAATAAGTTAAGCATGATACGTAAAGAATATTATTATCGTTGAGCTTATTTTCTTCTATCTTTCAAATATATGTCAGAGTTTTGAATAAAACATAAAACAACAATGAGTATGAATAGGATATGCCAAGCAAAAGAATATTGCGCATTAGCGCATACACATACAATCAGAAAAAAAAATCGGTTCATATATTGTGTTTGAAGTTTTTAAATGATCAATAATTTGCTGAATTGACAGTACCACGGTTTGAACCACGATACGAATTTCCTCGGCTTCCACGATATGAACCACCACCACGATCACCACTGCCTCTACCTAAAAAACAATTTTTTTTTTATTTATATTTTTCTTTCTATAGACAAACTTACCACGAAAACCACCACCTCTGCTATTATTCCAACGATTATTACCAGCTGAATTAAAACCTGAACGAGATTGATCATTATTCCAATTACCTCGACCACCACGATAACCTTTAGATTAAAAAGAAAAAGAAATATTACGTATATGTCTCTCAAGTCATGCTTCATGCAAGTAACAAACGAATGAAAACTATCTTTAATCCTTCATTTTTTCTTCTCAATCGTGATCTATCATTATTGAGTTCAATCGTTTCTTATAATCATATTTCATAAAACATACAAACCTCGATTATTATGAAAACCACCACGATCATTATTATCATTATTGCGAATACGACGTTGAGCAAGTTGAACACGTACAACAGAATTTATCGAACTTATATGTTGATCTAAATCATATTGAAAATATTTCAAAATGAATTATTATATAAAATCTTCATAATTACCATTATATTCTGAAATAGCTTTATTAGCAGTTTCTTCATCATCATAAGTTACTGTAGCTCGACCATTACCTTCACCAGTCATACGATCTTTATAAATCCAAATTTTAGGACCACCTGATCGTTCATCCGTCTAAAATATTCTTATTGAATAAAAGTAAAAAAAAATCATCGCATTATTTACTTTTATTGGTCCTACAGTTGAAAAAGCTTCTTGAATATCATCTCGAGTAATATTTTTTGGTAAATTTTGAATAAATATTGCATCTTTAAGTATTTCTATTTCGTCATCTTCATCATTATTATTATTACGTCGAAATCCATAACCACCACCACGTCCTAAAATATTATTAAAACAATCAGTTAACAAGTAATATATACGTATTAGAATCGTGAAAATTTTTCGTTTTTTTTTTTCTGAAATTATAGATTTTTAGCTTAAAAAAAATCCAATGTTTTCTTTCATGAAAAACAAAATTTCTTTTTTCCTCAAATTTTTATGTAAGTTAAGTGGATCAAATCTGTATTTAATTCTTACTTGGATAATTATTTCGATATGAACCACTAAAACAAGATAAAAAAGATCAATAAATATTAACTATTGTATATGTATATATAAAGAAATTAATATAAAAAACATAAATCAATACCACTAAAGTCATCTTCTTCATGGTTATCATTATGATCGAATATTTAGTCAATGAAACTTACCCTCCTCTGGCATCATTATTATCATTATCTGAACGACCAAAACCTCCACGTGACCCTAAAAAAATTCGAAATACAACATTGACAGTGACAAATTTGACATATTACCACGAGAACCTGCACTCCATACGTTTCCACCTTCTGTTGAAGGTTTATTAACACTATTAAATGACATTGTAAAATAGATATATATGTAGGATAACCTGCAGTTAAATAAATGCAAGGAAAAGAAAGGAAAAAGATGGAATCATATATTCATTGATCTTAAAACTTTGTTTTCTAAACGGAGTTGTTCGATATATGATAATGTCGGGCATAAAAAAAGAGGTCGCTCGAAGTTGATAACAGATGGGGAAAATCTTAGCGTTTGTTGGAAAATTCTTAAGGCATGATATATATATATATATCATTTTATTATTGTTTGAAGGTATTTGTTTATAGTCAGATATTATTATTAAATAGATATATAAGGAATAATTTGGGTAGAAGAATTCGGTTTTCAATTGAAAATATTCGTTAAAATATTTTGCTTTTGAAAATAATAGATCGGTTTTTTTATATACTCTTATTTTCATATATCTCAGATGATTGTGTAGGATGAATGTTTGCTATTTTTTTCAATATAGATTATTCTTTTTTACAAAATTACATGAGAATAAGAACAGATGACATTGTTATTGTTTTTTATTATCTTTCTTTGTTGCTTAAACTGATTTAAACCCATAGATCGATCATCCGATCGTTACTTTTTCATTTGATTTTTCGCCCTCAAGATGCGTTTTCAATCACGTAAGTATATTCGTACTGATTGCCAGAACCAAAATTTATTTCTTAAGCCCCTACTCACGCAAAATGTCTATATCCTCTAGATTAGTGGAATTTACGATATGAGCATGAGAGGATAGCTTGATGTCGGATCATTCATAAACAATAAGATTTTTTTATTCAGAAAATCATTTTTTTGAAGAAAACAGAAAAATCTTTTTCGTTTTTTCTCTATTTATGTTTTTCTCATTGCGCATCCTAGAATTCTTGAAAACGATTTATTATAGTCAATTGATTTTTCTTTGTTTGAAAGAGCATGTAAATCTGTAGTGTCTGTTTTTTCCATTAAGCTTTTTTTTATTATATACAAAATATACTTCTATAAATAGACGACCACTTTTTAGATTTTTCGACTTCTTGAACTTATCATTCTTTTTCTCTACATAAAAAAAATAAGAGTTAAAATAAAGACTGGCAGGTTCTGCTGAACATCTCTCAAAAACCTCATGGTACACGACCGAAAATTTTAGGATAGCATCTTCACTATAGTGTCAACGAATCATGAAAATTTTGTACAATATAAATGTATTCGATCCAAAATCGATTTTTGAGGATACGTTAAGTGTTTCATTTTATTAATTAATATTAAAATTTAGCTTTTACTAGTTTTCGTTTATTATGTAGAAAAGTATAATTGTATCGACCTGTATACAGTACTTGAGATTTCGAATTAAAAAATTTCAACTTAATAAGAATCATGTTGTTTTTTGTTTGTTCAGGCTTCTATTGTTTACTCATTGCTCTTTTCATCTTTTCCGTTGATTCGCGACTTGTTCCATTACAACATGAAATTAATGAACCGCTGACTATTGACGTTTTATCAACGAACAATAACCTTCACATCCCAGTGATTTCATCAAATAATGCAGTTATTAGACAAAAAGCAGCATCACCACCGGTTGCTAATACAACAGTGTGTTATCCAATCGTTGGTTGTTTTGATAACAATGAACCATTTAATCATGCCGCCTTAGAAGTACCACAATCACCAGAATTTATTAATAGCGCTTTTCTTCTTTATACACAAGAAGCACCAACAAATCCGGAATTTCATTATTATGATTCTGATGATGAATCAATTATAAAATCAAGCATAAATCCTTCTCGATGGTTAAGAGTTATTATACATGGTTTTCAAAATAATCGTGATAGTTCTTGGATACCAAAATTAAGAGCTGAATTACTTAAATTAAAAAATGTAAGAAAATTAAAAGAAAAACCTTTTTCCTTTTCAAATAGTTAATGAATGAAATTTGTAGTATGAACTATCTGATGTACTTGTTATTGATTGGGGTGGTGGTGCAAAATTTCCATTTTATTCAAATGCTGTTGCTAATACTCGTCTTGTTGGTAAACAAGTTGGTTTATTTTTACAAAAAATACACAAATTAAAAGGAATATCATATGATAGAATTCACTGCATTGGTATGTTCATGTAAATTATGATTGAAAAAAGTTTAATACATTTCTTGCAGGACATAGTCTTGGCGCACATACATGTGGATATACATCAAATACAGTTGATAATCAATTAGGCCGTATATCAGGTCTTGATCCGGCTGGTCCATTCTTTTCAGGAAAAAAGATAGTTGTTCGTTTGGATAAAGATGATGCTAAATTTGTTGATGTTATTCATTCAAATACTGAAATTGCTCTCGGACTTGGTCTTGGAATAACTGATGAATCAGGTGACATTGATTTTTATGCTAACGGTGGTCAAACTCAACCTGGTTGTCCTTCAATGTAAATACTATTTGAATTTTTTTTCTGGTGGAATTTCTTTTGTTTGTTTTTTCTAGTGGTGCACTCCTCGGTGGTGTCTTAGGTGGTCAAAGTGAAGGTAAACAATTTTATAGAACTATATATGAATTTTATTCTTTTCTATCGTAGCGGCTTTTGAACAAGCATCCTGTTCACATGGTCAGTATGAAATTTAATAAGAAAAAAAAATTATTCATGTTTATTAATAGGCCGTGCACATGGATATTTTATTGAATCAATCAAGTATGTTATTTTGTGAAAATCGATCTTAAAGAAGTGTTCCAGTATATGGAATAGCAATATGCACTTTCTCTTATAGACCATGACAGACATTTTTGATATCGAATTCAAAGATCATATATCAATAAGATCTTGTGATAATATATGAATTACTTTCTTATTGCATTTCTGGAGGATTAAGTAAAAGGATGATGAAGAAATGTGCTCCAAAATAGTTAGCATAAAACAATTTTCTTATGATTAGGAAGAACAATATAATCGTGTTTCACATTATAATCCCACAAAGATTGTGTTAATAGCTTATATTTTGAAAATTATGGCTTTCATTTGTTTTTTTAATCTTTTTTAGTTCGGATTGTCCATATACAGCTTTTCCATGCCATGATTATGTAAAAATAAAATAGAAAAATTAATATTGCTTTTTATTATTTGTCTTTCTAGGATAGTTTTATGAATGGTAAATGTCTTGTATGTCCAATATCTGGTTGTGCTCAAATGGGTAATTCATTCCTGTATTGATATTTTTGTATATGATTTATTGTTCTTGTTTCTTAGGATTTTATTCTATATATTCACTTGGTCGTGGTAAAATGTATTTAGCAACAAAAAACCATTCACCTTTTTGTGGTTAGAATACTTAAGCAATCAAATTTTGCTTGTTTTAATTTTTTTTATGTCTAGGCTATCATTATTTTGTTGAACTTGTACTTGATCGAGATATGGCTAAAACAGGTGGTGAGATTTATGTGGCAGTTTATTCAAATTATGAATTATTAGCTAATGTTAGCATGACTGAAAAGTATGTATTAAAAAACAAAATGCATTAGAATATGTGATTGATGATCTTATTTTCTCTTTAAAGATCGAATGCTGATATTAAAGCAGGTGATATTTTTCGACATGTATTCAGTTATCATCTTGATTTGGGTAAAGTTGATTATGCTGTGGTATATTTCCAGAAAGTAAAAACTCGTATGTAATCGTTGGTGTGTAACTTATTAGAGAAATTTATTAATGATTATTTTAGTTTTTGGCTGGGGTGGCCCAAAAGCTGATGAAATCGTGATTTCACGTCTTCGTATTAAATCCCTTGAAGATACTGTTATGTATGTATACATATATATATATAACCTTTTTCATACTTCATATTATTTATTTTTTTGAACAGATTGAGTGGAGGTTGTGATACAAGCATAAAAGTAGCAGCATATACTTCGGAAACATTGTTACTCAACCGTTTTGATTGTCAAGATTAGTATTTCACCAAAGAGAAAATGGTTTATTCAATAATACATTTTATTTTTTTTGAAATTATTGAATTTGGACTATTGAAACAAAATAAATTACATGCGATACACACGTTCATAGAAATTATCAACACTAATGAACGTTGTTGAACCTATTCTTTCCAAATTACTACTTTGTTTCTTGATTGATCAGTCAAGATTCGTTTTATTCCTGAGATTCATACAAGATTATTTTCGTTGGAAGGATTCTTATATGATCTGGAAGATAAATATCACGTAATGTTTAGATATACATTAATATATATGGGCGTGCTCAATGGTAGGATACCCCCTTACTAACTTATTCATATTGCTTAAGCCGTATATCAGAAAACGATGATTTTTTTATTAGCTATAGTACATATACAGTGCTAATGATCTGTTATTATTTAAGTTTCATATCTCAAGCAAAGCCGATCGCTGTCAAGCCTTTTTCTATGACCATTTTGTTAGAGTAATTCGCATCTGATTTGTTCATACACTTCAATCCTTACTTGAAATGTTTCTGGATAATACGAAATTTTACAGCATATGATTGAATGCTAGATTAGTTTCAAGGTTATTATAAGATTCACGACTGCACTATCATTTACTAATAGCAGGAAAATTGTGATCGAAAGAATTACCCATGAGTAATCTAACTGACTTTTACAAATAACAATAAATAAACACTCTATTCGTAAGGATAGCTTATCATAAATTAGTTGTTTTTCTTCATTAACTAGTTGGTAATAAAACTTTGTTGCAGATTCTTCAAGTTGCCTCGAAGTCTTTAGAAAAAACTGAAGTATGTGAACAAATCAGATGCGAATTACTCTAACAAAGTGGTCATAGAAAAAGACTTGACATCTATCGTTTTTGTTTGAGATATAAAACTTAAATAATAACAGATCATTAGCACCATATATGTACTGTAACTAATAAAAAAATCATGCTTTTCTAATATACGGCTTAAGTTATATGAATGAATTAGTGATGGGATATCCTACCATTGAGCAGGCCCATATATATATGCATGAACTTATGCAGATTGTATTTTCGTTGCTACACAATGACAGCTAATAGTTATGACGGTCGACTTAATAAACAAGAGTCGTTCTACTCAGATTATCTATGAATTGAATAGTGGCGTAAACAGACGAGGCTCAATTCTCCCCTCCTTTCCGCTATAAATGGTTGGGTTCCGCTTAGTGAGAAGGCTTGAGTCAATTCTGAACGCAGTCTATTCCATTTGCGAACATGGTCCGCAACTGAGCCTCAACTTTCCACTTTGACCACACAACTATTGTTAGATATGAAAAGTGTATATGTTGATCCATTCACGAGTCGCGTGGTAATTGTTTTTAAAAATATCCAAAAACACCATTGTCAAAACTGACCCGAGCATCGACAACATGGAGAAGCCTGACAGATTCCCAGCAATCAATGCGAAGAAGATAAACTATAATAAAACGTGTATATTTTTAATCTAGAAAAGATTATTTTTATTAATTGTTTCTTCTTTTTTTTCTTCTTGATGGACATAGTATACTTATAGCACGACTACGGAATTGGGTGTGGGTCTGGGTGTATGTCTGGGTGAAGAAAACAAATGCACCCATACCTAACACCCAAATCCACAACAAATTCATCATCATGTAAACATATGCCTATTTATAATAGACTATTAAGATAAAATGACACTTTTGTTATTCAAAGGAGCTGATATCAATTTCATTGAATTGTTTATCTCTTCATATTGTTATCACTAAACAATCACTAGAAGATACTGAAAGATTATTATAACGTCAATAACTATTAATTGATGATAATTGATAGAATATTTTTGGAAATATTACTTCGCATAACATTGATGATATTTCGTTCCTTTGTTTGCATAAAAATTCAAATTTTATGCTTTTTTATAATTAATATTAACGCTTTTGGTAATTTTGCTGATGTTAGTTAACGTGCATTCCTAGCTGAATGAGGTGCGACTACAAAGCTCTGAAAAATAGTAGAAACCTAGAATCAGAAATCGAGTGACTAGAATCGGTAATTGGATTTATCCAGATCCAATCGAAGTCAGACCTAGCCGACAATCTGATACGATCACTGGATTGCTACTTTCAAGTCTCTGCCATTTTCTCAAGTTTTTCGGCCGAAGTTGCACGAATCTGCGTGCCCCAATCATTGGCCTCGGTCGCGTAGAAGAGTGAGCGTGAGTAACTGTCTTCTGGCCATCTATCGACACTCTACACCTATATCCTCAGGTGATATATGATTATGAAAATTTTGTCAAAAATATCTATTTACTAAGAATTGTGAGCTTGAAATATAATGAGTTCACGAAAAAGTGAAGAAGTGAATGGAGAAACATTCGAGATTTGGGACATCTACAATTTTTGAAGTCCATTTATCTAGGTGTTGCAAATCTCCTTTAGAACTTAAATGATAGACTGTTCTTGTATAATAGAAGCTAATTAAACAAACAATTTGGATTTTCTCATTTGCTCTGCCGATCGTGCTCTTTCAGACAAAAAAATTGAAGTGTATCTTATCTCATATTCATATGAAATAGATATCGACACTTTTCGAAAGATGTTTTGTATTGAATAGTATAATAAATAACTTTTTCATTAAACAGATAGAAAAATGAGTTTGATTCTATTTCTAATCGGTAAAACAAAAAAGAAATATGCCGTAAGTACTAAGATCATTGTTTTTAAGCGCTGCTCTCTCACTCAACCAGTTGTCCTTTGATTACCGTGATAGATAGATTTGTCGGATGTTTTCTTTCTTTTCTTTCCGTCCAGCATGTAACAAGTGAGCATATGTAAATAAAAGTATAAACACACGTTACTACAAAAAATTATTCATATATTGAATAGATGAAGATTTTATTCAGAGATAACTTTTTTGATTTCATTTCAATAATGAAAAATAACAGATGAATAATGATAGATAAAAAAATTTTATTTGTTGAATGTTGGGTCATATTTATTCGATCATCGTGGGAATATATATAATAACATAATTGGAATCAACCTGTAGCACTAAACACATAACTAGGACATACAGTACTATCAGAGTTGCTCCATTCAAATATAAAAAAGCAGGAGTTTCTCGACAAAACACCAGTAGATGACTAAGAGGTTTTTCAGTAAAACCAGTAGATCTTTATGGAACTGAAGTAACTGTTTGACTGCATTGTCCAGAAAGAAACTAAAATTTTCGTTCCGATACCTATCTGTGTCTTACTGTTAGCCATTTAGTGATGACAAAACTATATTCTAAGTGAAACATAACAACGAGAAAGATAGATAATATGTACCGTTTTTTCAAAAATAAATTAGCTGACGTATTTGGTAACCATTCTTTTGTAATTTTCACAAATAAAGTTTAGTTATTTTCACCCGGAATTCTGAAGCAGTTTTCTATTTGAACTTTTTTCAGTGAAATAGAACCAGTATCTTTACTTCGTGTGGTAAAGATTGTGAGAAAAAATTTCCTCCAACAAATCTCAGATTTCACTTTTCTCATTTGCACGTAACGTGTGCATTCGGTAAATATACAGTCGGTTGTTTCTTTGTATTCACAGTTACACAACTCGTTGCGATAAGCTTTTATATGAAATTGATCATCTTAATCTTAGAAAACTCAAGAAGAAACAACGTGTTTTTTTAGCAGTCATTGCATCTATGAAATACTGTGATAGCTTTTTTTAATTGATTCAAGATGTCACTAAAATCCACAGTGACAAAGCTCCTAAAAACCAGGAGAAAATATAAAAAAACAGCTTTCGTTTCTAGAAGACTTTTCTCGTCAGAAGAGAAACCTGAAAACGAGGATTCTTCTGACTAAATTAGGCAATTTGGCAGCCTTAACCACCATTAACAATAACTGTAGGTTTATGCTAGTTCCAAGAAAACAATAGATTTAGTATTTAAATAGAGAAGAGAAACACCCTGTTCAATAGCTGCTGTATTATCTCTGAATTGAATCTTCATTTATTCAATACATGAGTAATTTTTGATAGCAATGCTGCACTCTGTTATTTGACATTATATTAAAACCATGTCCTTTCGCAATAAACATGGGTTAAGTTAAATGACAAAATATTTTACACATTTATCGACCTAGACTCTCTCTCTCTATTTATCATCTTCATACAATGATTCTATGACTTTTCATAAGCACGAATGTCTGAAAAGATTTGAAAATATCGAATATTCTCACAGAGAAAAGTTGCAAGTAAGATCAATTTTTTCTAAATTCAAAGACTCACTTATTTCTCTACATAGTCAATAATATTGTCGAAAATGAATTATCTTCTGATGTACAAATCAAATTTCGTATACATAGATCAAAACTATCCTTCGAGTTAAAAGAATGGAATAGTCAATAGATCAGCATGCACGATTAATATGTTTAACCCGTGTCAATTGTTGATGACGGAGTTTTGAATAAAGTGGATGATCTCTCCCTCCGTGCCCAACGGCTTGCTACCATTCACACTCTGCATTCTTCTGGTCCTGATCACCTAGCAACTATATTGTTTGCTAATAAAGAGTTATTTTATTTGGCTTTTCCTCAGAAAAGTAGCTGTTACTGTATAAAGCCCAACTATAGTCCAAAGCTAAAACGAAAGCGAAAAATTTTACCAGAAAGTCGAACACTTTTTCAACTTTTTTGGAGGGAGCGAGGCCCTAACATCAGTATTCTTGAACGCATAAGAAAATGTCTTACGTAGGTATTAAAAAGATTCAAAACCTTCTGGTAGCTAAACAGGTGATTATGAATTCTAATGAATACATGGATATATTAACTAAAACAAGTGAAGATCAAATCGATCAACTCATCAAAGATATGTTTGATAATCAATCTGATATTGAATGATTATTTTAGATCTATCTTTTTGAGAAATAAAAAGCAATTGTTTGCAGACCATCAATTTTTCAAAATAAACAATTATGTCAAATACTATGTTTTAATTTTTCTTTTTGTGTCGATTTTTTCCGCGTGTTCTTAGTTCGCCGTATTTATGTATTTATTAACTTATGTATTTATATTTTCATTAAATCAAAGAA